TTTTTAAAAAAAATTTTTATTAATTATTTATCATTGAAAGTATTACGGATGTCCCCTGATTTCCCCCATTGACCCCTTCCAGTCCCTCCTTCCCCCCAGGCCCTCACTGCCCCAATGTCAGTGGCCATGGGCCATACATATATGTGTGCCGAGCCAGCTCAGCCATGGGTTTGAAAGCCTGAGTAAAGGCGGCGAATGGATGAAGAAATGACAGACGAAGAGAATAAGCTGGGTCTAGGTCAGTGATAGCAAACCTATGACACGCGTGTCAGAGGTGACACGCAAACTCGTTTTCTTGGTTGCTTTTTCTTTGTTAAATAGCATTTAAATAGATAAAACTAGCTGAAACCAGTTTGGCTCAGTGGATAGAGCCTCGGCCTGTGGACTGAAAGGTCCGAGGTTTGATTCCGGTCAAGGTCATGTACCTGGGTTGCGGGCACATCCCCAGTAAGAGATGTGCAGGAGGCAGCTGATCGATGTTTCTCTCTCATCGATGTTTCTAGCTCTCTATCTCTCTCCCTTCCTCTCTGTAAAAAAATCAATAAAAATATATTTTAAAAATATTAAAAAAGAAATAAAACTAGAGGCCCAGTGCACAAAAATTTGTGCACTTGGGGGGGAGGGGGGTCCCTCAGCCTGGCCTGTGCCCTCTCGCAGTCTGGGCCCCTCGGGAGATAATGACCTGCTGGCTTAGGCCTGCTCCCAGGTGGCAGAGGGCAGGCTCAATCCCTAGGTGCAGCCCCTGGTCGGGCTCAGAGCAGAGCCAATTGGGGAGTTGGGGCGCCGCCCCATCATGCACAGAGCAGGGAGATTGGGTGGTTGTGATGCCACCCTCAGTCACGCTCAGGGTAGTGCCGATTGGGGGGTTGGGGCACTGCCCCCTGTCACACACAGAGCAGGGCGGATCAGGGGATTGGGGCGCCACCCTTTATCACACATAGAGCAGGGCCGATCAGGAGGTTGGGATGCCACGTCTCTCACACTCAGGGCAGGGCCGATGGGGAGG